TTTTTTCTTTGCCATTGTGTCACCAAGTGTTTACTTTGTGCCACGGATCGTGTTCACAAAACATTATATTTTCGATTGTGACATTATTAACAGAAAAATTAGTTTGATGCTATCGAAAGCCATCCTGTGTTTTTTATCAAATTCCTTTCCTACCACTGCAATTAGTTGTTATTTTTTTAGTTTTCAAAATCAATGATAAATTATTATCATTGGTCGCATTTTATTCATAATATTTTTCTTTCTAGACTTCATCAATCTTTTATTTTTTTAAAGTATCAAAACAAAAAAAAAACTAATAGTACCTACTAACTATTAATATTTTTATCGTTAATAGATTCCCTATCATAAGTTAACGTGTAGATCCTTAAAAATACATAATTTTCACTTTGTTATTTTTTACCATGATTGGCCGGGCAGATGTTGCAGCCGTCAGGTTCGATTACCGACCATGTCACTTCACCAATGGCTTTATTTTATATCTTGTACGTGATATTTTTCGCAGAGAATCGAGGTTTTTATATTTTTTTTACTCCTCTCATTAATTGCTAGGTTGAATGTTGCCGTGTCTCGTTACCCTACATGGATTTTATAATGTTTTTGTAATTGCAACTCGGTGGTGTCACATTTTATTTTAGTTTCTATGCCCTAGATTTATTGCACGCAAGTTTTTAGTTTCTAATATAAAATATATTCTACATTTGTTTTCTGTCTTTGTTAACATCTTCCATATAGTAATATTCATTGTAACTATGATGATGCTAGAAGTAGAAAGGTAACTATTATTGCACCGATTAATAGTCTATCTTTAACAATTCTTCACATTTCTTTGAGCGCTCAATGTTATCAGAACACAATTCAGCATTCAATTGGTTATTGACATAAAAGTTGACAGAACTAATAGCAAAAATGGAATAGAAGAATTTATGAACTGTCCGTATAATAGGGAGTATTTGTATGGGCCCATACAAAAACCTAATAAAACGGCATCAAACATACCGAAGTAAATTTTTATAAGCCATCATCAATAACAGGCCGGACCGTTCGGGAACACAGGCCATCTTGAAAAGATTTCGGACAATGGGCCCGCGTCCGTCCGAAACATATGGTCCTAAAATGTAAAATTACGAAATTGGATTAAAAGGAGAATTGTTGTCACCGAACTTTGTCCAGATTATTTTGATGGGCCGCACAATGGGTACTTGAGCATATGTTTTTGAATTTTAATAAGATAGATCGAATTGCCAATAATATTTTGACGTTGTTGTTCGTTGTTCGCGTGGGACGATGGTAACAGCTTGATTGACGTGTCAACGTATCTGTTTTGAATGGTATCTACCATTCATTGTTTTTTTTATTATTAACATAACCTAAATCTAATTCATTTTCTAATTTTACTGCATTGATAGGCAAGTTTCTAATTGCGTCAGTATCATTAGAGATCATTTATATCTTATTGAAAATATACCTAAAAGTAATTAGTAATATCTAGTCGATCGTTGAACTAACAAATAATCGGATCAACTTATAAGTTTATGATAAAATTGATAGTAAAGATAGTGCAAGTAATTTGGCACCTACCTAAATATTATTTTAGTAATTTTGTCTAAATAACAACAGAATAACAATCTATTTCCAAGAACAGTGCTATTGTTATCTTAACGTTTATTTATAGACAAGTTTCGTTTATAGATTAAAATCAATTTATAAGACGTTCTAATGATATTTAAGAGGAAGAAAATTTCATGACTGAAGTGGAAGTTCTTGAAGAAACTGATTAAATTAATGTAGATAATGATAACGATTTTCTGCATAGTGTCGTACTTGATGCACTTTAAGATATAACTCATGTTGCAGTAAAATTGGTATTAGATACTTTCCACTATAGAACTGTCTTTAAGATACACGCTATATTAGATTTAAAAAAATAAAAAAATGTTACTCACACTAGGAATGTTGTCATTATTGCACACGTTTTCGCTCAGCAGACGATCCCTGATCTCCCACGCGAAGATTGAGGGGCACTCCCTCTTGTAGTCAGCTATCTTCTGGACCACGGGTGTCGTGGCCACTCTCGGTTTAGACCCGCCAATCGCTCGGGGCTTTATTGACCCCGTCTCGTAATATCTGCGTGCAAAGCTGAATTTAGTTTGGAAAATGAAAAGGACTAGTGAGCTAATAGTTTTTTGCTCAAGGATTCTATTCTTGTTCGTTAGCTTCGTGTGTTTGGTCTAGTTTGTGTTGGTTAGTACTTAATGGGTTGATTTGTTAGTATGAGGTTGTTGTAGTGAGATTTTATAGTTGTCATGGTTTAGTTTTTTTAACCACCTAAGTTCGTTCATGTTTTGTTAATGAATCGATACAATTCAGAAAGAACTTCTTTATAATTTGATAATTAGTATTGATGTTGTCATAAATATTAGTTAAAGAAGCTATAAACAAACTTAATTATGGCGTTTTGCATGCATGCAGTGATACTAAGCTTTGACATTTTTATATGATTGCATATAATTTTCTTAAAAACTCTAACAGGATATATTTTTTATTTAAGATTGTTTGTTGTGACATATTTTACAAAAATATCTCAAGTACAGCAAAAACAACTACCAAACCTACAATTATTACTACAAATTATCTAAACATCCCCATTCAAGTAAAATACTATTAAACCGCCATTACAAACATAATCTCTAGCTTCCCCTTAACTTCAAGTACGTATACAAAACGTTGCCAAATTCTGTTTGATTGTCCTCCCTTAACATCGTCGTAAATTATACCTTCTGTAGATGATGGTAGGGTTTTTAATTCGCTGTCTTGTGTGGGGTTTGGGACTTGGATATCGGATGTACTTGAAACATGTATTGTTATGAGATAGACATGTGTCGATATTTCGGATCTTGAATCGAATGTGTTAGTATTGACGGCAGATGGAGGTAGAATTGTGGAGTTCAATGTTAATAGCCTTTGTTGTAGATTGAAAGTTTTAGAATTGGCTAAAGATGAAACCGACGACGGAGTTAATACAATAATAGATCACGCAAAGGTAAAAATGGAATACGCAATTATAAATAACTAATTATTTTTACACGTAGGTGCAAAAGAAAAAAATGATAAACTTAGTTGTAATTAAAGTGAAACACATGCAACAAGATAAAGACCAAAAACATAACTACTTTATAGCAACAATCGATAAACAAAGGATTACAATATATCTGACTCAGCCATTAATTGATAGTAAAAAAACTAGAACCTTTAGAAACATGCTCTAGAAATACGAACTACATATTTTAATTGAGAAGTCATCTACAGCTACAAAATCATTTTCGTATAACCACCAAAATCAAACAAAGCATTTAGAAAACCGTTACACAATAATAACCATAGTTCCAGTAGCAACAAATAACAAACACGGCGATTATCGAAATTGTCATCAATGATATATTTATTTAGGCGTTTTCGATAAGCATTTACCGCATTTTTGGGTCCCCATCGACTTGTAATCGTTTTCGCCTTGGGCGATTTTCGCAAAGGGCGTTTTCGAGGGAGCTCACTGCTTTTTAATTGAGAACTTTAAGTTCGACGAACTTTGATTATGTGTTGTGCTTTTGGTAAACAGTGGTGAAAAGAGGGTTTTATGGATGAGGTAAATAAATGGGAGGTTTATGAAAATGAAAGGTTTGATGAGTGTTTGGAATTTGGATTACAATTTATTGGAAGTGGAGAAAGGTTTTATGAATGAGAAAAAAACAAAAAGATACTCGCATTCTATTTACTGTTTTTATCGTGACTTTAAACATGAGCCTTGTATTGTATTGTATTGCGAACACCGGTTTAACATTGAATCCATTTAAATATTTTGAACTTTTCGTAGGTAAATAATTACAATTGGTTGTCGCAAAGTGCACAAAAATGATACCACAACTACACAATTGCAATTACCCTTAATATATCTGTAATGAAATCTCCATTATTAAATATACATTATCGAAAAGCAAACTTTGATCAAGTAACTAAATTGTTGGCCACAAACGCAACAGAAATTGCAAACAAATTGTCGCCAAACCGAGCAATTACTGCATCAAACAATAATAAATTGATCGAAATCAGTGCCGATCATCCCAAAACGTTGCGGTGACTCGACCAATGTAAATTCATTGTTTCAACTCCATTGCTTGTTCCTCAGAACGATAGCAATATTGCAATTCATTTTGTATATTCAATGGATTCGTAAATGCGAACATTAATGTACTTCATCAGGGGTTTGAAGATTAGAGTGCAGATAGGCTCGGGGCAACAAATAAGTACTTATCTGAGATTGTTTTTGAAGTGGTTATTTAAACGTAACCGAATTACGTGCGCCCTATTGAAAATACGTCACGGGGAGCTCTTACTAAAAATTGCATTTTAACAAAAAGCTGTTAACTCATTTATTATTGTTTGCATTTTCATCTCCAGCGACTTCAAGTCTTTTGTTTCGTTATCTTGATTTTAGTCTTTAATTAGTTACAAATAAGGTTTATCCTTGATCTAGAAGTTTCCCTAGATACAGAGAATTGCCGTCAAATGTGAGTGAACAGCAGGACCTCTTCGTAATTAGGAGTCCCGCTACGCTTGCCCTTCTATGCGAGCCCTAAGGAACACTTTTCAACCCCTTTTCTACAGTAATTGGCACGATAAGAATGTCCAGGGGTGTGTGAGAACGATATAGGCACTTGCAGCCGGCTTGGTATTGCGGGAAAATGAATAAATATATATATATATATATTTTTTGTTTTGTAACAACATAATTATGTTGCCCAAGAAACAGTGTCATTTTAAAATTTGTGTACTTACTTACATATTTCTTAAATACATACATTTTTCGTTCTGTTTATACTCTTGTCTGTTGACAGTCGTGGCCATAATGTATTTATAAGGTTTATACCGGGAGCCGGTGTTTCAACAGACAGAGGCTTCTAAGATTTTTTTCTATTGAAGAATAATACAGCTTGTTTCTATAATGTTTTTAATGAATCACAATCATTACGTATCACAATCATCTAATTAGAGGTACATAATTTAATTGCGCATTATAAGAGTGATGAAGAATCAAAAACATATTGACAGTATTAGATAAGAAATGTAATTATAATCATGGAAGTTGGAACATCATGATAACTACTTATCAGATATTGACAAGAACACTAATGATTTCAAAAATTATCATGTCATGATGAGTTGCGAAATAAATGTCATTCAATAACAACAACAATAGTATTTTGGCAACACGTGTAAATGATTTTTGGCTATCAGAAGAAACTGAATAAAATAAAAACATAGCCTGACCCTAGAATTTATTGTACATTACAAGAATCCCTTACAAATTAGCCCTTAAAGATTTCACAGCCGTACGATCTACTTCAACAGAAAACCATTATCAATAACATAACACGAGCCGGTAATACTCTTCGCTTTATCACTAGCCAAATACACAATAATATCACCAATCTCTCCAGCCTCCGAAGACCTTCCCAAAGGTGTATGAGTACCAGCTTCTTCCAACGCATCAGCTGGAAAACCAGACCCAATAATGATATCAGTCAAAACTGGTCCAGGATTTACTGAGTTAACTCTAACGCCTGAAGGAGCTAATTCCAATGCAGCAAATCTTGTAAAATGGTCCAATCCAGCCTTTGAGACACTGTAGGACATAAGTCCAGGTGTACTAGATGATGTTGAAGCAACACTAGATACGTTTACTATATTACCTTTACTTGCTATGAGAAAAGGGATAGCTAAACTCGTAATGTGTACAACAGGTCGCAGATTAGTGTTCATAATTTCATCATAATTTGCTAAAATATCCGGGTCCAATAAACTTTTTAGTCGGAATATGCCAGCGTTGTTGACTAACACGTCCAGTTTACCGAATTTGTCTATTGTTTTTTGTACTATTGTCTTTGCTTCTTCTTCTTTGGATATGTCTGCTTTAATAGCTAGTGATTTTGCTCCTTGTTGATCGCAGCGTATTGTCACATCTTTTAGTTTAGTTTCGTTTCTTCCAACGAAGGCGACAGAAGCTCCAGCTTTAGCAAATAATTCTACAGCAGCTGCGCCGATACCGGAGCTTCCACCCGTAACTAACACCACTTTGTTTGCAAACATGTTCTTGTTCAATACGTTCTCGACGATAGTTGGTTTATTAATTACTTTAATACTGTTCAGATCGTTCTTTTATACTGTTCATTGTTCATTGATAACATTATCTATTACGTTTAGACAAACCAGACTGTGATTTTCATTCTTGACCTCGTGGGCCTGCCAACGCACTAGGTTCTTATCTTGGTTATTGTTATGATATTACGGAAGATTTTCGTAATCAACAAGACATCGACAGTAAATATTAATCAGACATAATTTGTATTTATACCTACACTAAACTATAAAGAAATACCGCAGTCAAACAAAAAGCAAACAATAGAAAATATTTTTCCCACAAAAACAACTTGTTTCGTCAATATATTAACAAGCAAAACATTACAAAATAATAGCATGTGCCCACAGGGTAAAACTATAGGGTTCTCTGAGCCAAATTTATTTTTCCTATAAGATCTCTTGAAGTGGCGTCAAGCCGTCTCCCTCAGTAGGGGTGCCAATTACTAGAAAATAATGTTTTTATTTTGATTTTTATTTAGGGGCGGTCGTGGGACAGCCCTGTAAGGCACACCCTATATTAAAATGAGTCTAGTTCTTTGATTGACGTCTGCGTTTTTATTGTTTGATTGACTTTTGACTTTTTCTGTTCCCATTGACTGAATGTGTTGTTCAAGTTAAATGTTTAGTGCGACACACTTTTAACGACTTTTCTTTGTCGTTACGTTAAAAGATGTTTCCTTATTAATTGTAACGATCTAATATTGTTACAAGAATACCTACTACCAATGAATACAAGCACATCTGTAACGGATTCGCGTGGATTATCAAAATCAGTTATTTAAAAACCATTACGAAAACAATTCCATTACGATTAACACGAATACTTCACTGCCGGCATTTTAATAAGCACTCGACCGGAGGGCCGAAATCCTCCGTGATCTCCAGATAAAATCGCAATCAAACAATAAAATTGCCGTCGAAATTAGAGCCGGCACCCCAACGGCAGGCACCCGATGTCGATTCCCACCTAGCACCCCGCAGTGCACACGTCAACTATTCAACAAAAACAATACACTATGGGAATGCAAACTCAAACTATTGTATTGATTAAGTCATTGAAATATTCTTTAATTTTGTCCACGACAGCTTTGTCGAAACCATTGTGCGGTTCCTTGGGCGGTATTATGGGAATTCCATCAATTTGCTAACGCGTGGCGAAAGAATTTGACCCCATCGCACTTAGACATAATCGATTCTTTAACTTTTGTTGGCTCACAATGGGTTTTGTGTTAAATAATTCGTTTATTCGTGTAATAGTATTCGTTTTAATTGTTATGGGTGCTTGTTCTTCAGTAACACGGTGGCTGAATGAACTTCACAATGAATTAGGCCTTTCTTTTGAATTGACAGTGAACGTTGAGAAAATGAGAAGTTCAAGTAATATGTTATTATCATAAAACATTTCTAAATGAAAAGTGTCATTTGGTGGGTTGTAAGTAATTCAGTAGTGTCAGACTTTATGATAGATGATGTTCTTTGTGTAGCGGTAATTTTCTATCTCAGGGTGAGTTCTGTAGACCTTGAAATTTATATAAAAGCTCTATTATAACGAGTTGCCGAAGAGCGATTATGAAGGTTTAAGATTTCGAGTAAATATAGAGGTATTTTTGAAAATTTCGAATTAAACTGTTAAAAGGTATTATGGGCTTAAATGATCGTTTCAAAAGAAATTTCATCCACGGCTCTTGATCTGTAGATTTACGTTAAGCTTTTGAAATGAATTATTGGATCGAGGTGAACGATAACGATATATGAAGAACAATAACATCATGCCTATTTGTATAGTTGCAATTAAAGTTTCAAACTACAAAAAAACTGAACCACATCACTACAACATGACAAAGGCACTTAAAACCAACAGACCTGCCGAGTATCTTGGAGACGCAGCCGTTGGAGACCTGCAGGATGCGGCTGATGTCGCAGGGCCGTGCGCCCGAGTGCGCCAGCTCCACGATCTTCTGACGCGTGGAGTCTGGCAGCGGCCTGCCGTTGACATATACTCCGCCAAGTTGGTTGATGCCACTATGGCCGGCTGAGGAGCACCCAAATAGGGCTCCACCCCCCATTGCCGCGCTATGCATCAGCTCATCTGCAATGGAAGGTATTATTTAACTGTTGTTTAGCAGCAGACAGGATAAGTAAAATTGTTTAATGAAAGCTCCAGCGTGTCCTATTTCATCTTCTTATTACTTACGATTCGTAATACTTCTCTACAAGTTCAAGTACTGTACATAGATATAGCAAATATTTCGCCTGTTTCTGCGATGAAAAGGATCTTTTAATCGATTTGGACAATGAAACTTCACATCTGCACCTCTTCAATATTCGATGCATCCTCAATTTTTACTTGAGTACCATCCTCGTGTATAGAATCATCCTTTTTAACTACTAGATAATATCTACGCAACCCATTGCTTGTTCTGTGGCCATCTTTCATACCCGCGCAAAAAACATTAACCCGTTTTGAAAAAATAATCCGCTTTGCGAAAAGTATCTTTAATAAAAAAAAGGTTTCGCGGTGTACGATAGAAAACCACAATTTTTATCTAATCTTCGGAGATACGATGATATTTTTACTTTCATTGTTTGTGTGGACCGTTATTGTCATTTTTTTACTTTGAGCTTTTTGTACCGTTTCTCTACGAGTATTACGCATTCAAACGGAACTGTAAAGAATATACCAACCTACCAACTGTTTCAATTAACATACCTCTATTTACCTTAAATACTCAAACACTGTTACGTGTTGTAACTTTGACTTGTGTACGGACCCATAACTAGCTCCCACTTCTAAAAGATAATTTGAGTTTCCGCGACTCACAAAAATAGAAAGAGTATTGTTAATGTATTTATTCCAATTTGTAGGCCCTGCATCCTTTAATCGGGCATCAAATTAGACGGTTGGTCCGTCCACAATTATAACCACGCTGTTTACAAGCCAATAGTCTTCAATAGGAGTGCATTAGATCGGATGAGCCCAACCGTTGGTCTGACAATTCTTTTTATCCACCCCTCACAAACACCCAGTAAAAAGTGAACAATTGGATGCAATTTGTGGGCGAATTTGGGCCAGGCCCTTGATTAAGGCCCTAAAGGGTGGGGGCTTAAGTTCATTGTTTTGTCCCGTCAATTTTTTTTCTGCGGTTCGTCTCGTCTCGTCTCGTTTATAATTTTCGTAGTTCGTGCATCGAATCCGCGAGCGATCGGCTTTTGTTTTTTTTATTTTCTTTATTTTGCGAGTAACTAATGTTATTAGTGTCTTTGCAATGTGCTTTGGTTACAATTATCGGATACAGTTGGCATAAAAATGTGAGATGAGAATTGAAAACCTAATTCGGTTTCAGAACTGCAACTACTTTGAGAGGCATTCAGCCAAGGCTATAAATACTACATTTTCTCTACAAACTCAACACACCGCACCTCAAAAATAAATTTAAAATACATCCAAGCCTAGCCTTTTCCGAACAAATTAATAACCACAGGTCCTTCGCCAATTAAGTGTGCCTCTCGAGTGGCAAGTTGTCGCGTCGCTGTTGTTAATCGTGGCTGGAGCTCACCTTGCCGCGGCCTGCTAACAAGCGCACGTTAAAAGAACAATGGACAATCGTACGCCCACCCTACGCCCGGGTTACGACAAATTACAAGGGATAGCGGGAGCGTTTTGTGACAATTTGGAAATTGATTGACATTCAAAGTTGAAGGTTTAAAGGTTGTAGATGACTGAACCAAATTCAAAGTTAAAACATTTATTTCAATTAAACCATAATTTGGTACTTTTAAAACGTCAACAAATACAAAATAAATAATATAGTCTGTCAGTCAGTCCGTCAGTGAAGCTAGGTGCTCATTCCAAAATGTAGATTTGAATGGAGAAGAATGAGTAAGAAACTCCATTCCTTACTCAGTACCAGTATCTATGTTTAGGTGACGTAAACAGTTATGGGTTCAAATAGATGTATGTTATTGTTCTTAAACTTCACAGTTGCTTTTTTATGAGAAACATTCTACGTTTCTCTTCACAACAACTTAAGTTCAATATCAATTAATCGGACTTGAAAATGTATGATTAGTCAATGTAATGAAGCTGTTCGTGAGTTTGCGTCCGCTCTGAAGTTTTATACAAATTATTTAAGTTACGCATACAATAAAGTTCTGGATATGGTTCCAGTTTATCTCTACACTTTAGGAGAAGTCTAGCAAATTAGAAACCACAGTTTAAAAATAGAAGACACACTAGCGATATATCAGGCATTAGATTCAAGGTCGATTACTTAAACTACAAAAAATCGCTCCCGCTTCAGCTCATATTAAGGTCTATTGTCACACCCGCTGTCGGCGCAAGTACGCATGTCGTGCGAGGGAGTGTTTTAATTTCAGAGGTGCAATTTATTCGAGCGATTTATTTTTAATCCCCGTTTTTATGGGTGCGACGCTATAAATTTCATTTATAGTTGTTGTTATTTATTTTTTTAGTTTTTCATGTGTGTGTGTCTGTGTGTGTATTGAGTGGTACATAGGTGCTGGATATGTGTGTGCGTAGTTTTATAGCGGATAATTCTGGTTGTGACTTTTAATGGATGAGTGTTTTACGTTGACCAGGAATTTTGTAGGAACGTTGTGTTGTTTAAAATTGAGAATTTGTCATAGATTATTTTACGTTGCCTTAAGTGAAGACGGGTTGAAATATGAACGTACTATGGCTAAGAAGGTTAATTAAAGGTCATATCTATGAAAAAATTACTTCGTTAAAAATATATCATTTGCATTAAAAAGCAGGATATCTTAAAAATAAAAATAATAATCTAATCTGGCAACCCCTTAATATGTACTTAACGTAGCACGAAAACTGTCGTTAAATAGATAAAACGTCAAATTAAACATTAATCAAACTTTACATACAAGCAGACAGTACATAAGGGTGGCAACCCTGTCGAGAGCACACCTGGTGGCATCCCCCACCTAAATACCCTTC